GCGAAATTTCACTGGTATTTCAACTCTCACGCAAATAAATAGTTGCCACTGGAAACGCGAATCGTTTCAAAACTGAACAAAGCGAGAGGGAGAGAGAAGCGAAAGGGCGAGCCCGAATTAACTCGCAAGCGGCTGCTGCACCTGCTGTTAACATCCCGCAAGAAATTTCCCAAAATTGAGCGTTTTACCGTGCCGTAGGTGGAGGATGAAACGCGGCGCGCGCCCCAGAGGGTTTTCATAAATCGCGATGCGCACATAAGTCCCTTTAACTAGAAATGTATCCCGCGAACTCTCGATCCTGTAATAGCACCTGTATATACCTACGGAAAAAGGGAGGATAGAATCTGTGAGAGAGCGAGAGAACGCGGAAGAGGGAGAGGTACAGTACAAATACGGTCAGCTGTGCGATCGTTAGTTACTCCCTCCGCCGCCAACAGGCGGGCGGCTGCAAAAAAGAATCACGAGCAAAACGTATATCGATGTGTGGACGTGCGGCGAAACGTACAAATAAACACGCCACCGCCCGCCTGGGCGCCAAATTTATCGCGCGTGCTTAATTAGCGGGCAAATAACGCGATTAACGCGGCGCGCGATAGTATGTCGCGTTTGTCGCGCGGCTCGCGCGAATCCGGGCTCTTGTGTAGGCCACACCACACCACACCGGCGCGGCGGCGGCGGCGGCGGCGGCGCTCGCGCCCCGGAAACTGTTGCTCGCGACAGCCAGAAACGCCAGCCAGCCAGCCAGCCGGTGTCCCGCGACCGGAGAGAAAAACGAAAGACACAAAGGGCAAACAATAACGCGTCCACCGTGACTAATGCACCAGTTATTGCGCCGAGCTATTTATTTTCGACACATGGAATATCGCGATATTATCGATATCACGCGAGAAAATGCGAATTTCAAAATTACATTGAAATTATTATATTAAAGAGTGTTACATGTATACTTTTTATACAACCGTGAAACACTACGTTTACGTGTACCTCTATTCCCTCCTTTATGTATCGATTTACAATACGGACTACATCCTTATCTTTCCCTCCTGGGGCTCTGTTATTCTTTAAAATATATTCTTTATGGAAAGTTTGCATAACGCTGGCAATGAGCTGTGCTAAGGCGTAAAGGACAGATACGATTTTCATTCTGGTTACTTACGAAGGGCGAAGAAACGGGAGACGATGAATCGTCGAAACTTTTTATTCGCGCCGCGGCGGGTGTAAAGCGCGCGGAATGGAATGAAACTCGAGGTATCGGCTTTGCATTTGATCAACCGTGCAATGAATAAGGAAAAACTTGGCCGCGTTCGATGCATCGGTAGCTGTTGCGCCCCGCGCGTAAGCCTGAATTGTAAAGCTCGCACAGCTGCGGGCGTGAAGGCGCACATACCGAAAAATAATATCAGACGCGGAAAATAAATAGCATTCCGAGTCATAAATTATTCATAATAAATCATCGACGCCCTCTTTAGTTTTACCCCCCGTGCGATATTTGGAAAATCGTGAGGTATTGTATAAAACGATAAACGCGCGCGCAATTGGAACAAAAGCTCGATCTTTTATGAAATTTATTTAAACAATATAAAAAGGTATAATATATAGTAATACGCGCTTGATGGTAAATGGAATGTTAGCTCTCGTGTTTGTTAAAAATGTATTTGTTTAAGAAATTTATTTAAAAATATATTAAATTAATTCTCTGGAAAATAGCATTCGATCCAGTTACAAATGAAACGAATATAGTATGTGTAAAGAATATGAAACAGTGTGCATCTTTTATGTGCTGTTCATTGAAGTCTAATACATTAATATTGTGCAAAAAAATATATTACAGCGATGAAATGATTTATTTTGAATAATCAAACTGATGATGAAATCATTGCGAAGAGAAGAGAAAGGGGCAGAGAGAGAGAGAGAGAGAGAGAGAGAGAGAGAGAGGGAGGAAGGGAGAGAGAGAGAGAGAGCTAGAGAACTATAAAATTAGACTCTTACCGGAATACGGCGTGGAATAAAATTCGAAGTATCGGCTTTGCATTTGATCAGCGGCGCGGTGAATAAGGAAGCCCTGTGTCCTGGTCGTATTCGAAGCCGCGAACGAGGCGAATCAATCCTCGAACTTCAAAGGAATCCCGGCCGCTCTGATCCTTCGGGATTCCCTGATACGCGTGGGAGTCTTTAATCAGAGTACGCGCGCGCGAGTCGACGGCCCTCGACGGTACGTCGACCCCGAAAATGGACTCGGTCGCCCATTGTCTTGAGCAAGCCGGTCCGTCCTGTGTCGCGTGGCATATTAATTAAATCGCTAATTATTAAACTAATTGCCGGTTTAATTGGCTCGCGAGAGAGAAACGGCGGCCGCGCGCGTGTTCACAAACAGAAAGAGCGGAGGCTCGGGTGGAAAGGACTTGCGGAGAGAAATATCGCTTGATTGTGCGCCGTGATACTGTACCTTCGGAACACGCGAGTCAGCCAACGCGCGGATTATCCGACAATCCGAATTAGCCGACGCTGGCATCAGCAGTCGATCGTTTCATTCCAGATCCGTATCTTCTATCTGTAACATAGAACAATCGGTCTAAAATTATAACGATCGTTATTAAATGGCCGTTTTAATCCATACATGGTAAATTTGCGGTTTTAGGAAATACAATATCTACACGATAAATAACAAGTTTGCACGGTCTACATGCTAAATCATATTCAATCATGCCGTGTCAGTTTACTTGTTTGTCATTAACGTACTCGTACAGTTTTGCGTATTTGCGCATTCGGCTGCACGCTGTTCCGCCGCCCTCGATATGTAAAGCACGTCGGGAGCATTCGTATCCCAATATCGTACAACGTACTTTATTCAATGGCAGGCGAGCACTTGCGTATCTGAGGCACGCGCCGGGAAAGATGCCAGGAAGCCGCGTGGTTTCATCCTGAAGTTCGCACTCCGAAACCAAACATAGCCCTGCATGTCCTACGGCGTAACAGTAGGACAGGGTCAAAGGAGAGTCCATGTGGCTCTCTATTGTGTTTGTCCGGTTAACTACTGCTTATACAGCAACACAAAGCCCGAAAGCCGACGAATTATTTAAAAAGACTCGTTATTGTTCCGCGAGGCGAATGGTCAAACCGCCGCGAAACCACTTGTTAACTAGACGGAATTCTGAGAGCTGAGAGGAAGGTCACTCGTATACACGTGGAGAAATCGGGGGACCTTCGATGTTCACGTGAATTAGTGCAAAGAGCTGTTAGAGAGCAGCTACAGAGATTGGATCCGGTCATGAGGATCGGAGAGATAAATGTAAAATGTCGCACGGTGTACAAAAACTTCCAATTCAACGTGTATTGATTTTGCGGTTGTGCGACTTGTTTAACAGAAAAATACGTAACAATGTCCGGAGCGATGTAAAATATCGATGCGCCGTAAAATTGAGTGTTATCAAAATAGGATACTCAAAGTAAATCAATAAATTGTTATGTGACTATATGTAACTGCAGTAGTTTCGCGTGTGTTGACGCGCTTGAGAAGAAAGAAAATAACTGTCCGCCGATTTTACTCTTCTAATTGTTCTTCAATGTTTTGCCAACGTCGTTGTGACAACCATCGTTTGTCTTTAAACAAACCGGTGTACAAACTTTCAAACGAAACAGCTTCCTGTAGCGACGCGGTAACCAAGTACATCTTTTCTTTTTTTTTTTTTTTGAAAAGGATTTTTTTAGAAATATTTTATATTGCAGTTTTATGTATATGTATATATAAATAATGCCAAAATTGTTTTACAAATTTCGGACAATATCGAAATAAAAATAAATATAATATCGATGCGCGCGGGACGCAAATAGTAAATAATATATTAGCAATCCATAACGGAACATGAACGTTATAGCGGCGGACAGCTTGATAATGAATCTTGAAGGAGGTCACAAGAGAAAATAACTTCGAACGTGTATCTATTTCTTTTCCATTGTCTTCGTTCTTAACTTAAAAATATAACAACGTAATCGTATTTCAAAATGATTATGGATTTGACATCAAATGGACTACAAGTGTGTCAAAAATAAAAAATCATAGAGGTAGCCATACTTTTGCAAATAACCGCTTCATTTAAAATAAAATGCAGTAAAATGCAGTAAAAATACTTTTGAATTAATTTCTCTTAAAAAACGGTGCTCGCTGCAGTTCTCTCTTTGTTGTCAAGGTTTCGTTCACATGGGATATTTATGTTGTTGTCACGTGTGTTATTTAATGCAACAAATTTTTCCCGCAATTTTTGTAAACTGTACACATTATCGATGGGAGAACAAGTGCGGATGAATTTTTTGTTTGCCTTCTGAAGAGGTTTGCACGATAATAATTGGCTCTCTCTTTCACAACCACTTTAAATTTCAGGCCGCTTTGGAGTACTCAATTGCGTTCGGTTGATCGAATATTTTTAATTACCGCTGTATTTGTCCCGATCGCCGTGCGGATGCATGCTTAAATAAATTAATGCGCGCATGTCAACTATCGCGGAGCCATTTCCCGCTGAGATTTCCATTTGCGCGGTTGAAATTTTCCACTAATAACTATATTTCCCCGAGACCTCTTTCGAGAATTGCGATTTCAACGTCAGAACAATTTTTTTATAATTACCAACCAATTAAATTATTTCACTCGTGTTCTAAATTGTACCATCGTTACAGCGTAAATGAGTTAAAATCCGAGATCTATTTCAGTGTGACAAAAAATATGGAGAAATAAATCAAGAAATTTTATTATGTGTGTTCACTTCAATCTAATTATGATAAATTCTGTTAGCAAAATTTACTTTTATTCAAGTACAAACACATTTGTTTTAGAGAAATTTTAATTAGCTTAAATTAATTTAACATTATTTAAAACTTTGTATTTATAACAGCGCTTAATATATTATAATATATTATAATAATATGAAGCGCTTTTAATATCATTATGTGATAGTACATATTAAACGTACAGAATAAAAAAATCGTTTGTGTTTTCTATCGCGTAGCTGCGACATTGGAGATACGAAAGCTGGAAGTGCCCAGTATCGCCGATCCGAGGTGGGAGAGGGTGTTACTCAAGTGCGAATACGATCTCGGTGGCAAGGAACTGTATTCGGTAACGTGGAACAAGGATGGCCAGGAAATCTTCAGATACATGCCGGGATCAGCGACGCCCAAGCGACCTCAAAATATCAGCGGGCTGTACATCGACCTCAACCGAAGTGACCACAAGCAAGTGACACTTCTGGGCCCGAACACCCGCAAAGGTGCGCGACATCAATTTACAAGCGAGACTCGCAAGATCGTATCCACTATTACAGCTTTTATATAAAAGATGAATCTTTTATGTACAAATTAAAATCGTTTTTGTAGAATATCGCAATTTCGAGATACAGATTGTTATAGGAATAAAGTTAATGTCGGAAATTTAACGATTTAAGGTTTAAAGAAGATTTAATTATATTCTCAAAATAATATTCTTCCGTTGTATTGTCTTTTATTAAGATATATTCATAAAAAAAGTGCCTTCTTAAGTGCTTCCTTTATAATATAGCTAGTCTCTTTTCTCTTTAACTTAATATCGCAGGTAAAGTCGACTTGGCCGGGTCTTACGGCTGCGAGGTGTCATCCGAATCGCCGAGTTTTGAGACAGATTACAGAGAGGCGAACATGAGCGTGGCTGTACCGCCTAAAAGTGCCCCGGTACTCGAGGGGGTGCGACCTTCTTACGAAGTCGGCGAGATCCTCCAAGCGGAGTGCACGTCGGGATTGAGTTACCCCCCGGCAGTTTTAACGTTCATCTTGAACAATAAAGAGGTGAGTCGATGACGTTCGCGCGTGAGCGAAGGCGAGGGTTAGTTAAATTTTCGAGAGGTAAATCGCATCAGTTCAGAAAGATAATCGGATAAACTTCCGAGATTCTTCGTACCGTATACACGAAGCGTTTTTTATTCACCATCCGCTCGCTTTGCGAATTATTTCTATTAAATAAAGAACAGCTTTTTATTTATCTAAAACAATTATCAAGCGAATAACACAAATTTTCAATTTCCAGCATTAAATGTTTTTAATTCTTCGATAGCTTTTTTAAGTCAAAAGCTATCGAAGAATTAAAAACATTTAATGCTGGAAATTGAAAATTGTGTGTTATTTATTAAAAACTGCCAATTTATTATATAGCTTTGGCCATAAGTATGAAGTACTTTCAATTTGTTCTATTTTCTTGAAAAAGGCAATAATAAAAGCTAGAGGAGGACTAACAGACTATTAAAATTTTTATAAAAATAAATGTTATTTTTTAATAAAACTGTTTTTTAATTTATTTTTTGTTAAACATGGATTGTTTACGTCAAGTTACGGAGAAGCTTTACCTATACTTAAAGGCCAAGGTTGTATTATATATTTTTATCGAAGGAATATTTATCCCCGAAATATAATATCTAACTACTCTAAGGGCATCCCTGTAGCGCTGACAGACACGAAACAAGCGAAAATTTTGTAATTAATCGCGCAACGTAATCCCAAGCTCGCTTCCGCGGGCTGTTAAGCGGGCATGGTGAACTAGAAACCACATAACTCCCATTATTCAATGCTACGCTGCGCACGTCATTCGCGAGGAGGTACTACTCGGTTTATTCAACGACAATTTGTCAAGCGAGGCCAGTTCGCGTGGGCATTTTTATTTCGCTTGCTGACCGGCCGCGCGCGTTGAAGTCTCAATAAATACAGAGCTATACGAGCCACAAATTAATTCCTCGAGAATAAACTCGCGGAAACGCAACGCGATTGCGACAGAAATGTGCTACCCGTACGATAAAAATCGTAACTCATACAAAATTGATATAACAGACGTTTTTAGAGTTGTTATTTTTTAAAGAGACTCTGATGATTAAATTTACGGTCGAGGACCGAAATTAAATCTTTCGCTTTGCAATCTCTTTTAATTTTTTATACTCTGTATCCTATATATTTAGATATCGTCGCGTTGATTTAAAAAAAAGTGAGACAAGATAAAAATTAGCATTTTTTAAATAATGAAATTTAAAGAAAGAAATCGATGCTGAAGTCTTTAGAGTCGATTTGCTTTCAATTTATTGCATTTTTCTATCAACGCGGCGATGTCTCGATAACTTGTGACTGTTGCATAAATCTTATCGTTATTACAGTTATTTAAAATATATGGACTTTGCAGATTCCATAAATATTTTAAACAATTCCAACAGTTTTAAACTCTACATACTCTGTTGGCTTGGATTCTTGACAGGTAAACAGAGCCTTAACTAAAGATTTACGGGGAATTGGCAACATAGACGGACTGGTCTCCACGACGCGGCTAGGCCTGACAATGCGCCTGGAACGGCACCACTTTTCCGGCGGCAGTTTGACGCTGATCTGCCAGTCGACGCTACCGGGAATCTCCAATGACCAGCCCCTCAAGACGATCGAGATTGCCACACTCGCCGCCAGCAACCAACGTCTCGCCCAGGAGCCCCCTAAATCGGGCTCGAGGTCAAACATTGAGCTCTACCCGATTCTGACCTGCTGGACGATGACCGTGATTCACGTGATTCGCTACGACAGTCTCAGACTTCTGCACGTTTAATATCGATCGGTGCGCTTAATTATTCGATCGACGACCCCGAAGAATTCGGATTCTTTAAAAAGTACGTGCTAATTAGTGTATATGTCTTCTCGTGATCAGGAAAGAAAAAAAAACGTCGCGCGTATCGTCATCGGCTTTTCTTTACATGTCAATCAAGCGCGATACATACATTTCGAATGCGTCCCGAATTTTCGCGCAATCCACACACGTTCGCTCGCATGTGTACACACATACATACACACAGTGTTTAGAACACCCCGTATATCGTATGTAAGACGGAGATAGCAATACAATTCTACGTAAAGTAGGTCGGAACGGCGGGCGCACGGCGATTGTACATAGTGTATAATTGTGAATTAGCATTACAAATTGTCGTGTATAATTAACCGGACGGAAGGACTGTGTGGGGGTGGACGATGGAGGGAACACGATGAAAGTAACACGGAGAGATATATCGGGGAGATTCGCGGGGACACGCGCGCGCGAGATCGCGAGCGATTCTTTGCGTGGGGTGGGGAGGGGGGAAGGAAGGGGGAAATAACGCGGCTGGAAAAACGTCGCGTTCGAGAAATATATCTATCATTTGTCAGACCAGAAAAGTATAGTTTAAGAAGCATTATAAGTGTATACGAGTCGTAATCCTAAGCACGGCTCGACGACGTCTCGGCGTACGTATATAGCGTATAAGTATGTGGTTAATTCGACTATATTCTCCACATCCGAATCTTCCTCGACAAGGCATGCGAGAGTTCTACGTGTGAAGAGATTTACGACGCCTTTTTTGTTTCTGCGATTTTACACGATCCAGAGTATCGTCGTTATCGTCGGAACGATTGCAGTAATAAAAACGATGATTCAATCAAAACTTGGTTGATTACATTTCTCGCGAACCAGACGTCCTCTTTTGCAGCGTTAAACGATTTTATCGAATGTTAATTACATCGCATGTTTAAACGATCAATGGATTAATCAATGGAATTGCGATTATCGTTAACATACTACGAAGAACAAAAGACGATACATGCGGCAGGAGCAGCATGATGGCTATTCGAGGGCTCTCTCTCTTTTCTCTCTCCGCTCTCGTGACTCGAGATGACTTCCTTTGCCGGCGTTTGGTACGTGGCGGAAGATTCCGCCAAGACTCCGATATACATAATTTGCGTAAGTAACAAAGAGACCGGCGAGATAGGAGCAGTTTAAGACGTCAAAGAGAAGCCGTAGGACGGGGTAAACAATAAACGGAGAAATTAGCGGGAGAACGATCTTCCCGAGGAAACCATCGAAAGAGGTAAGAGGGAGACGGTCACACAAACCGTCTCGGATTCACCAAACGGACTCCCTCTCCCTCACCCCTCCCTTCGATCCGATCTATCGGCACGCCGGCTCTGTGACTCTCCTGCCTCTCCTTGATTCGATTTCCAGATTAATTAAGGATCGCTGGTCTGAAAGGACGCCCTCGAGATCCTTTCAAACGGGGTCGAGTATCCCGTTCGTCCCCCCCGGCGGAGGCGGCGTAACGAGCGCCGATTCGAATCGGTTTCACGAGACACCGAGCCTGATAATGACATTTTCCGTCGGCTCAGGTAAGTCTATCTTACGATTCCATGCCTGCTTACTGATTACACGAGCCCCTTCGACGAAAATCCTCAATTTAGCCTTGCCACATGAGAAGGCTTTCACGAAGGCTTCACCGCCCTTTCCGCGCCTCTTTTCCGCTCTCATCCTCGCGAGGCTTGTGAGAGAGATACTGTTTTATCTCGATATTTTTGCAGTAATAATCCGTGAGATTGATTTTTTTTTCATGAAAATATTAAACAACTATAGTTCTCGTACATATTTGATATTTTTCTACTAATTTTTATTTCATCAAGATTCAAATTAAATTCTTGTTAGAGAAAAAAAATGATATGTTGGAATATTGTATAACAGTTAGCTAAAATAATTTTTACTTTATTGTTTTAATCTATTTGTAGACCATCGAAATAACGTTTTCAAGTTTACCAGTATTCTCTGCAACAGAAATTATTAACGCCCTAATGCGAATTCTCATTTTCATCATTCGTGATATTCTTATAATTTAATAGTTCGCGAGAAGTGATATACGATTGATCCGAAGACGACCTACATAAGACTGCCGAGGACAATAGTCAAGCACACCCAACTCACAGCTGAATTGTAGACGACGCGACGTTAGGGAGGCTTTAGGGCGCTCGAAGTCGAAGGTGGAGACTCGCCCATTACCCTCTCTCGCTATTACTCCCTCTCCACTTTGCTTTATCACCTCTTCCCTAACAGAGAGAACGAGAGAGAGAGAGAGAGAGAGAGAGAGAGAGAATGAATGTGTGTTATATATGTGTGTGTGGTATACGTGTATGTGTGTGTAGTTATTGTAAGTGCTCTCATATGAACACGTATGATACCTGCACACTTCTGGTGATGCGTGCGTGCGTTATACGTGCAAATTCGCGCTCGCAGTTGTGTGTACATATCCCGCAAGAGATGCCAGGAACTGATACGAAATCGATAGAACCCAGTTTCCGACGACGTGACGTGCCAGCGTTATACCATTCGCTCAACAGCAGCATCAACCGGCGACAGGAACAACACTATGCCAGCGATCTTCCAGGTGATTCGCGCATCACTCGAGTACGCTTTGACTAGGGAGATAGATATGCCTTCCATATCTCTCTCTCTCTCCCTCTCTCTCTCTCTCTCTCTCTCTCTCTCTTTCTCTCTTTCTCTCTCCTCCCTGCAATTCTCTCTCGAAAAGATAGAATGGACGAGGCTCTGGACCAATATTGCGAATTTAACCTAAATATGGTACGGGGCGATTACATTTTATTCATCTGTGCCGCATACAATAATATAGGAAATTTAATATATGTAGCTATATTTTCCTAATAGAGTTTCTCCTGATAAAAAAAAGATAAAAGAAAACTGAAATAATTTAAATTCCATCAAAATTTTATATATAATTCTAACAAAAAAAGATCGATATAATAACGTCAATATTTTAAGATTTGTATAAAGCACATACAACCGTTTACAAGTTAAATTATCGTTCCTTTGGATCAGGAGATGTAGCGCACAACGACTGAGAAAGATGAAGATTTCATTTACGATCGAATGAGCAATTTGCTCGTGCATAATGCGCAAGTAATAATGCGCATTTACATGGATTAAACCAGATTAAACCAGATTTTCATTGGTCACGAAAAGTGAGAGGGGTAATTACTCAGAATTAATATCGCGCCTCATATATATTTTCGTTCAGCCGGTGTTTCTGCGCTTTCGCGAATACAAATCACCAGTCACGAATAATAATCGAACGCCGTTCAATCCCAAGCGTTTAATATATACGAGACATCGGAGACTGGATAATCGCTTTTGTCCGCAAATGTAAAATTAATAATTCTATCAAACGTGGAAGACTTATTGCGTGTAGTACACGTTCATTTTGTGGAGCAATTCTCAACATACCTCGCGAGAACAATTGTACTAGCGATTCCAATTAATAACCCAATTAAATTAATTACTATCCCATTGACGTCAATTTCGTCAGAGATTCGCCATGACAAGTCACGATCACTATAATACCCGCGTTCTCTCTCGCGGTGACAAACTTGGAGAACGTGGTTTGCGATTGGCAAACAGAAAGCCCGCATACCGATAAGGAATCATGATGTTGACGGCTACATCGCGACTGCTCGTAAGTGATTTCCGAACGGAAAATTTGCTGCCGAGTGTATCATCACTCTCGTAGTAGTTTTTTTTTTTTCAGCTTTCGACATATGCGGGCAAAAACTTTTTATATAAAACTCTTGATATTATTAAGCACTAAAATCCGCTTTGATCAAATTAGTTCACTTTTGTTTATCTTTACGTGAAAAAAGTGCTCTTATTTAAATAAAATTGTATTTGTTTCATTGATACTGTTATTGAATAAACAAGATTATTTTCAATTAAATTATTGCATATTTGCTAATAATTATTAATACAATATCTTTTTTTGCGTTTGTTGTTTATATCGATCGATTTTCATTTATTCAACTTAATTTTGGCTGCAATACATTTTTTTAATATCAATAATTTTCTTTTAATTTTTACATTTTTCAAATATAATAAATTTTTCAGCAATTGTATTTTAAATTGAGTGTTTAAAGCTTAATTTGATATTGCTCGAAAATTAATACTTTACTAAAAACTTGTATCTCAGAATTAGAATTTGCATAACTTTAACAATCTCTGAATTTTTAGTATTAATACAATTCGGAGATAAATTTCAAAATTTCATATCCGTTATATGCGAAACTTTTGAAAAGTCACGAGTCACTTAGAAAGAAAGGTTCTTGTTAGAAGATTCAGTATACAGATTCAATCTCTCTTAAGGTAGTAGTTTGCTCCTGATGGAAAACTACGAGAAAGCAATTCTCAAAAAATTGTCAACACGGAGAAATTCCAAGTTTTTGATCCGTAGCGCAGCAACGCCGCAGCAAATCCATAAAAGAATTTTATTAAATAGTCGAAACCACTCACTCCGTTTCCCTGTTGAAAGGAGCACGAAGTTTTAAGAGAACGAGAGAGGCAGGAGAGGCCGCATTGGCTAGATTAAAGGAAAAAACTTCGCGATTATTCAACTTTACCATTCCGCCTTTTCGGGACACTTCATTCTTTTCGCAAACGCGATTGACGAATTTGGAGCATCGTGCATTCAGCCATTTGCAAGCACTCGCCTTATTCGGCTAACCAGGCTAAGCGAATAACTAAACTAACGAGTTATAATATAATAAAACGCAACTATATCTTCTACATACCTAACGCATCTACATACTTTATCAGAATTTTACTTTGGCACTCGACTTATCCTACATTTAACATTAGGAATTAAAAAGTTGAAACCACTTTTCTCAGAATTTAACTGGCCATATATTTCATTAAAATTTTAATTCGATTACTATTGATAGTAAAAATTAAAAAGTTGATAATTACTTTTCTCAGAATTTTATGCAAAAAATGTCTTTCGTGTGTTATTTAGATGTATAATGAGTAGCGTCAGAATAAAATTTCACTACAAATAAAAATCAAATTCACAAATTAGTAGCAGAATTGTTAAATTCAAAACGCCATATATGCCTCTAGTAGAAAGAACTTGCACGGTTTTCTGACAGGCAATGGAAAACAAATCCGTGGAATCTGAATACACAACTGGATTCCTGTCGG